ATGGAGGATATGGAACTGTGCAAGAGCATATTCTGTAGCATGATGTTCTGCCTTTCTGTGATGTCCTTTCTCTGTTGTTCTTGTCTACGGGTAGCTCATAGGATAACGAAAACACTAGCAAAGCCATGAACAGCTATGACCAGACGGCGAAAGCAGAAACTACGTAGATAGCGTGCCCGATGATGTGGAAGGCTAACAAGCTCCCCGATGGAATAGACGAAAGGGCGAAAAGCGATGGACAAGCCACATACCCAAAAGCACAAACCTAGCTTATACACATTCCGTGGCTTGAAGCAGGCAAAAGATGTGTGGAAACTGCAAGTCTGAACAAAAGCCACCTGGGTCAAGCTTGGGGTTCCTGGCCGTCTGTTGGTGGCGTTTCGTTGATAGAGCTCTAGCTAGAGAGAGAGAGTGTGTGAATCTATGTGGTCATGTGGGGGATGAGGCGCCGCGGATTGGCAGGAATTATGAGCAAGAAATGCGGCTTGGATGGGATGGGATTAGGCGCGGGGAAGGGCGATTTCTGATTGATTGACTGATGATGTGAGAAAACAGATGAGGAGGATGCATGGCTTGGAAGAGGCGTCAAGCCCCCCCCTTTGCGGAGAAGCAGCCGCTTCTGTTTACTGTGATGCATTACGGAGAACTGATAGGCATGATGCTCTACACGGCTTGCATTGCTGGATGAACAACAAGGGGACGAGAATTGCCCTGGGCATGGGGCAGAGTTGGAGAAGCCTCGTTGCCTCGCTTCGACGTGGACGAAGTGGTGTGGTGAGGTGGTATTCCAGTCTACTGCAATGCATCTGCATCTGCAACCTGCACGGGGAACCAAGCCAGAGGCAAGAAAGCCAAGCAAGCAAGCAAGCAAGCAGCAATAGCACAGCTTTCATTCTCCTGGTGGCTTAGTCTACGTGCTAGCTACAAAGAGGTCGATAAGGCACTGGAAAGCTGGTGGTGTGCTGGGCATGAATGCGCCTTGAGATGGAGGAATAGGCGGGATATTGGTTGCCATTGGATGGAACGGTGCAGCCCAAGCCGGAGATTAGAAGCGAAGCTTTTTTTCATTTGCCTCCCCCCGTATTTCGTCAAGGAAGGGGAAGAAAGAAGGAGATGGTAGGTGTGGCGAGAATCGTGCCTGGTTGGGCAGCATGGGGGAGTTTGGACCTGGTGGTGGTGTAGTGGTGTAGGATCGTAACTATCTTAGTGGTGCAAGTGGTGGTAGAATGGAGTTGCATGCACTTTTACAGAACAAGGCAAGGAGGGCTAAGAGGGAGCTTAGCTGGGCTTATTTCGTGCTTTGACGAATGAGCGACGGAAGCCTTGGGTCATGGAGGTGAGGAGAAGATTTGGAGCTGGCTTGGTGCTTGGGTATGGGAGCGGGGAGGGACTGGCAACACTGGGTAGAAGTTGGGGGTGTGAGAGGCGGGAGGCGATGATTGGGGCGATGTGCACGACTGCCAAGGGTTGGGTTCGTGAGGAGGCAGGATGGTGATGATGATGATGATGATAACGTACAGTATGACTTGACCTTTTGATCTGAGCTTGGAGGCACGGCAAGGATGAGCCAGGGCGCCAGGCGCCTATCAACCAGAGAGGTGAGCGGGATGTGGTCATGGACACTTTCGGTCTGATATGATGCAGGTTTGCAGAGACGAAGAGGAGGAAAGATGTGCAGAGGATCAATGCTGATTGTGATGGGCATTATGTCAGTGTGTCTGCAAGCTTGCGAAGCAGTATTGCAT